TAGCTCCTCCTGACGTTTGAGAGCTTCATGCTGCCGTCGTTTCGCCTCTTCGGCCTGGCCCGCCTTTCTACAGAGCACTGCCAGCGAGAGACTGTTGCTACAGCTGCCGGAGTTACTGGCCGGGTCACGGATGGCCGCCACTTTGGAGTCGTCAAGGCTCGGCTTGGCCTCAGAAACCGATAATCGGATGTCCGAAGTGCGAAGTCGTATCGACGGGCGGTGCTCCCGATTGGGTGAGGATATCGTGGCGTTTCCGCATACATTCGGGACTCCCGACTGTTTCCGTACCAGAATGCCACTGCGTTCAGCGGTGCTCCACTCTGTCGTCATGAGAGTGCCGGCGAGTTGAACGGAGGTGTGTGAGGCTGGACGAAGATGTCGAAATAGGCAGGGCAAGATACGACGAAATTCCTTGCGAAAGTTTTCGTTCATCCAAGCGTAGAGGAAGGGGTTGTAAACTGCACTGCTCATGGCCAACAAATGGCAGACGAAAAAGATTAGTGTAAAGTATTTGTTTCTGCGAACCCCGTTAATCTGACCATCGTTGATCACATCCGTCACGATCCAGTGCACATTCAAGGGGATCCAGCATACCACGAATATGATCACCATTGCGATCAGCATTGTGTTGGTTCGCCGTTTCCGACGGATCTCCTGCTCGCCCTGATACCGGCTCTTGACTCCACTTCCAATCTTGACGATACATCGCATTCGCAGGATCTGGCTCACCTTCAGGTAGCACACGGAGATGATGCTGCAGGGCACCACGAATTGAAGCACGAAGCTGACAATCGTGAAGACCTCACGAGCCGCCTCTCTGGGCCAGCGCTCTTGACACGAGGTGATGTTTTTGATTGGATCAAAGTTCTTCTGTTGATAGACAGCTAATGGCATCGAGATGAGGATGGCGATTGTCCATACCGTAATTATGATTATAAGACAAAGCCACTTTTTCATGCGCAAAACAAAAGGGTGGACAATCACAAAGTACCGGTCGACAGCGATCGCCGTCGAGGTAAGAGTAGAGACATAGACCGAAACGCCCATTGTGGTGGGCAAGAGTTTGCAGAGTGCATCTGGCAACGTCCAGCTGTCGACGTAGAGGGCGAACGGCGTGAAGGGAGTGGCCACCAGAGTCATGAGAATGTCGGAAATGGCCAGATTTGTTATGAAGAGGTTTGTAATCGTCTGCATTGCCTTGGTACGTAGCACCACATGTACCACGAGAATGTTGCCGGGCAGGCCTAGGAAGAAGACTATGGCGTACAGGGAGAAAATGAAAGCAATAACAGCAGTATTTTTTTTAGCATCATCCCAGCTAGTTGTTAGCATTGAGCTCTGAGTCGTCGGTGTTGCCATGCCGTAGCCATGGTAGTTGGAGTTAAGGCTGCCATGTGTGGCAAAAGTGGCGTTGGAGAAGACTGCAAAGGCAGCGCTTTCGGCTGGATCAGCCTCCATGCTGCCGACTGCAAGGCTGTCTCTAGGTTGGCCAGGCAACCAAACATCTCCTGCAAAAACATGTCTTGGGACGCCTAAGGTGGAGCTCGGGACAGATTGGGCCGAGATTGAAGAGGTGAAGTTCTGAGGAAACAGGTTGCTCATTTCATAGGGGGTCGACATCTCCGAACTGCGAAGAGATGTTGGCGAGGAGGCCGGGATACGATAGGCAGAATCTAGGCGTATGATTGGTGCGATAGAGAATAAAATGGGGAGAGAACAATTTTACATTAAAAACGTCAAACCAATGACAGACGTACAAAAATAGAAGAGTTGAAATGCACCAAAAATCGTTTTTACTTAATATGAAATGATTTTCCTTTTCGAAGGTTATGCTGATTGGAAGCAATTCATTAAATAATCTCTTCGGAAACCGAATGAGGATTGCTGCGGAGGAAAGACTGTTAGATTATGCGGGTAAGTCCTCGGTTTATCTGCATTTTCTCTTGGTTTAGTATATTTTTGCTTTATTTCATAAGGTATGGATTCTTGTACTGATGATGTCTGCCACAGCGGTACAGACGAAGGCCTAGCACAGGTTAATCAGAGTCGCATGATGGTTAGCCGAGGACTTCTTTGTACAATTCAACTGTATTCACTCGGTGACAATCCGCCTTCGGTTACCAGAAAGACTGTTTCACGAATTGTCTCCAACCAAATTTTCCTTAAAAATAGAAAGTCATTTAAGAATAAATCACTAAGGGATACCTCTAAACCCAGTTGTTATTCATATTTTTTCTAATAAATTTGAAGACCTCTCAACTTGCATTTCCTGTACAGCTGGTGACAATGTTTGCGGGAGCTGTCCACCCGAAGAAGACAACGAATAAGAGGTTTCTTCTGTGCGTGAATGAAAAAGCTTGATAACTATATTTCGATATAAGTAGGTTTCAAAATTAACAATAGTTACTTAATGAGGATTTAGTCACTTTAGGTTATTGTAGGACGTATAATGGGGCCTTTCTCCAAAAATGTTATGGTGGTGCGTCACGACGTTACTTATTTTGTAATGAGTAGGCTTTGAGATTATCATTTATACTTCAATAAGAACATATTTGCCTTATTAACAGAGGGAATGCAAAAATTGATTAAAGATAGGCTTGTTTAACCCTAAAGGTCACATTTACTCCGCGATATACCGGCGACCTTGGCTATAAGACCGAGTGGTAAGGGGTCGCAAAGATACCGAAAACCCAGTTTCAAATCCCAAAGGGGGTATGAATGATAAATAGGCATGATGAAAAGTCGGTCGATCCAGGATTAGGATATCTGTCGGGAGACAAAGTCGACTGCAATAAAAATCGAAGCTGGTTGTCGAAGAATCCCTCAATAGGTTGATAGTGGCTTAAATTTCATTTCGTATGAGAAGCCGGGTCGAAGGGATTCGTAGATTGACCTCACCCGATACCGAAAGAGGGTCACCTTTGACTTTTATCTGTTGGATTGTGCGAAGAAGACCTCGGCTCACCGGCCTACGACT